CACTCTGGCTGCACTTCTTCCAAAACATATCTATTGGTTCTTTTGGCAGTCCATGGCACTTTCAATATTCTCCTCCAACACCATAATTCAGCCTTGGAAACCCTGAGGTGGCATTGTGGGCTAATGCGCCAGACTGCAAAGTCATTTGAACTGCAAGGTCGGTGGTTCAAGCTCACTACCTGCTCCTTGGAAACCCTATACAGGGTTGCTATGGGTCGGAATTGACTCGATGGCATTTAACAACAACTACAATCCTTACAAGAGCAGAAAACCTCTTTCTCTGGCATAGTGGCTGGTGCATTCACACTGTTGATCTTGTGATCAGCAGCCCAATGCTAACCCACTAGGCCACCAGGGCTCCTTCCATAGATGGTTGTGTTATATTATTTTTATTAGTAGAACAACTGAGTCTCTATGGATTTTCTATATTATTCTATTTCATACTCTATACCTGTGAGCACAGTGGCACCATAGAATAAGCACAGGACAGCAAACTACAAGGTCCATGGTTTGAGCCCACCATCTATCTGCTCCATGGAAGAAAGATGAGGCTTTCTGCTCTCATAAAGGCTTTAATAGCCTGGGAAAACCTTATACAGGGTCGCTATGAGTCCAAACCACCTTGACAGAATTTAACAACCACTCTATACCTATATGTCCTTAGAGAAAACAGAGGTTTCCAAAATTTCAGTTAGGTGTGTTCATTTGCTCTCTGTATTATAAAAACAAACAAAAAACAAAAAAAAATCCACTGCCATCGTTTCAATTCAGACTCACAGTGACCCTAAAGGATGGAGTAGGACTGCTTCGTTGGGTTTTTGAGGCTGTACATTTTAGGAAACAGATTGCCTCATCATCCTTCCTGGGAACAGCTGGTGGGTTCAAGTCACCAACCTTTCACTTAGGAGCTCAATGTTTAACTTGACTGTACTTCCAAGAATCTTCTTTCACTATTACACTTTCCAAAATAAATATAAATATCACAATTTGAACTCTAATGAGAAAGTTATAGTACAAAGAAGGTTGTGCTTGATCAAAATAAACAACTGCACTTTAAAAAAACCCATTAATATTAATTTTAAAGATTTAAGAATACTAGTAGCACTTTAAGGCGCTCTGGTAACTTAATACGTTGTGTGTTGGGTTGCAAACAACAAGGTCAGCAGTTCAAGTCTAGCAGGTGCTCTGCAGGTGAAAGATGAGGCTTTCTTCTCCTGTAAAGATTTGCAGCTTTGGAAACGCTATACAGGGTTGCTACAGCACAGCATCACCACCACCACCACCAGTATCACCTTGCTCCTGAGGATAAAGAAGTGAAAGCAACTGGAAGCAAGGAGGAGGTAAAAGAATTGAACAGGAAATTTCAAAGGACAGCTTGAGAAAACAAAATCAAGTATTATAATGAAATGTGCAAAGACCTTAAGTCAAAAAATCAAAAGAGAAGAAGAACACACTCAGTATTTCTCAAACTGAAAGAATTGAAGAAAAAACTTCAAGCCTAAACTTGCAATATCAAAAGAAGGAAGGAAAACATAGTCACTGTAGTAGAAAGAATTGGTCGATAAAATTGTTCAACAATTTCAGGATATGTCATATGAACAAAAACCAATGCTATTGAAGGAAGAAGTTCAATGTACTGAAGGCTTTGGTGAAAAAGTAGGCTCCAGGAATCAATGAAATACAAACTGAAATGTTTCAACAAACTGTTGCCACACTCAAGGTGCTCACTTGTGTATGCCAAGAAATTTGGAAGACAGCTACCTGGCCAGCCAATTGAAAGAGCTCCATATTTGTGTCCATTCCAAAGAAAGATGACCCAAGGAAATGCAAAAATCATCTAACAATATCATTAATATCACATGCAAGTAAAATTTTGCTGAAGATAATTTTTAAAAATGATTACAGCAGTATGCTGACAGGAGCTACTAGAACTGTAAGCTGGATTTAGAAGAGGACATGAAATGAGAGATATCATTACTGATGTCAGATGGATCTTACCTGATAGCCTAAAATACCAGAGAGATGCTTACTTGAGCTTTATTGACTATCCAAAGGCGTTTCACTATTTGGATCATAACAAATTATGGATAACAAAGTGAAGGTAGTTGTTACAATAGAACAAGGGAATACCGAATGATTTAAAATCAGAAAAAGTGTGCTCCAGGGTTGTAACCATTCAATAATCTGAGAAACTGGATTATATGAAGAAGAAAGTGACATCAGGGTTGAAGGAAGACTCGTTATCAACCTGCAATATGCACATGACACAACTTTAGATACTGGAAGTGAAGAGGATCTTGAAATACTTACTGATGAAGATAAAAAATCACAGGCTTTAGTATGGTTACACCTCAATATAAAGAAAATGAAAGTCATCACACTAGACCAACACGGTAATATCATGGTTAAGTGAGAAAAGACTGAAGTTGTTGAAGACTCCATTTTGCCTGGATCCACAATCAGCAGTAAAAAAATCATGAAACAGCAGTAAAAAAAATCAAACGATGCATAGCATTATGATAATCTGCTGCTAGAAATCTTTAAGGATTAAGGTGCTCCTGACCCAAGTCATGGTGTTTTCAATTGCCTTATTCGCATGTGAAAGTTGGTAAGGAAGATCACAGAAGAATCGATGTATCTAAATTATAAATATTTTTAAATGCTATGACGTGCCAGAAGAAAAGGAAATTTGTCTTAAAAGAAGTATAACCATAATATTCCTTAGAAACGAGAATGATGAGATTTTGTCTCTCATTCTTGGGACATGTCATGAGGGATGAGTCCCTGGAGAAGGACACCATGGTTGGTAAAGTAGATAAAGAGAAAGTCCCCCAACAAGATAGATTGATACTGTGGTAGCAACAATGGACTCAAAGATCATAAAACATTGTGAGGGTGACACAGGACTAGGTAGTGTTTCATTCTGTTGTGTAAAGGGTCGCTATGAGTTAGAACTAACTTGACAACTCAACAAAACAACAAGTAGCACCTTCAGGAGCTCCAGTGGGTCATTGGTTAAGCTCTTGGCTGCTAACTAAAAGGCTGAACTAACCAGTCATTCAGTAGGAGAAAGATGTGACAGTCTGCTTTTAGTAAAGATCACTGTTGTTAAGTGCTGTTGAGTTTGTTTTCAACTCATAGAGATCCTATGTACAGCAGAATGAAACACTGCCTGGTCTGGGGCTGTACTCACAATCTTGCTGTTTTTTAGTTCATTGTTGCCAATGCTGTGTCAATCCATCTCTTTAATGTTCTTCATTTTTATAGACTCTCGACTTCACCAAGCATGATGTTCTTCTCCAGGTAATGGTCCCTTCTAATAACATGCTCATTAAGATTACAGTCTTAAAGCCCTATGGAACACTTCTACTCTGTTCTATAGGAGTTCTATGAGTTGGAATCTACTAGAATGCAATGGGTTTGGATTTTTTGGTTAATGGCTTTTTAGTTGCATCAGCTATTTGTTAGTAACTGATTTTTTTTTTTTAATTTTCTTACAAGGAACTTTTGACATATGTATATGTAAAAACATTTTCACACTGTTATGGATTTTATCATTCTAAATACCATGACTTTTGATTTTTAAATTTTTCCTTTATATTATTATTTAAGAATTTACAGTAGAATGGTCTCAGTTTGAGAGTCAGATCAATTATTACTTAGCTCTGTGTCTACAACCAGTCACATAATATTTTTGCCACCTGTATTAAATGAACTAACCCAACTGTACAAATCCAAATGAATATTACGATAGTGATCCATTATTGCAAAGTATTATTTGGACAACCATGTTGAAACTAGCATAGGAAACTTTGATTCAAATGTGCATAACCAACCAGTAGTTAATAAGAGTTTTTAGTTTGGATGGCATCAGGACCCCTGGTGACATGACAGTTAAGTACTTGGCTGCTAACCACAAAGTTGGAGATCTGAACATACACATATAGAGTGTCTGTAAGAAAAATGCCCTCAAGCCTCAAGATCTTCTTCCATAATACTTGTCAGATGAAGTCGAGGTCATCTACTCTGCCACATGAGGTTGTATCAAAAATCATCTTCATAGCACTCAATAACAAGAAGAGTGACAACCACTTTGGGGTCTCATCCTCATCTCCAGCCCTGAGACTTGATGTGCCCACATTTGAAGGCATCTGGATATGTTGCTCTGGGCTAGAACCCATGAGAGTGGGCTTGAAAGCTTTTGAGAAAGAATAAATAAACATCTTACTAAAAACAAATAATGAGCACATCTCAACTCCCAAATTCAAGCTTTTATAACCACATTTCTATTTGAGTAGAATAAATACATGCAATATATTCTTTATTAGCAATCAGGCCAAAATCTGTAATTCTGACAAGTAAAGTAAATTTGTTGTTGTCATTAAGTGCTGTGCCACTGAGTCGGTTCCAACTCATAGCGACCCATAGGGTTTCTGATCATGTGATTCAAACGACCTTGAGTCCAGTGCTCAACCTACTGCGCCCAAATTCCACATTTACATTTCTATATGGAAGTGGAAGGTACACTGCAGAAACAATTTTGTTCAAAGCTTTACCTGAAAACTTCCCAACAAAAACTTCTGAAGGGGTTGAGGAATAGTTTTAATCTCAGCATTAGCTCAATTAAAAGAAATACGTGAAAGCCACCTCAGCTTAATACCTTGATAGTTCCTGATCAATTCACAACACAATAATAAGGCACTCAAAATGAGTTGTTTAAAGTGCGGTTATGCCCTTCTTGTTGTGTTATCACATAGCAGATCACGCTACTGACGGGGACATTTCTGCCAGCGCCGCAGCCTCAGCCTCTGTGCAGCTGCTGTCATAGGGAGTCATGGTGCCTGAGCAAGCCTACAGACAAGCACAAAATTGAACTCACAGTAGTGGTGTCACTGCGGTATCTTTTCAACAAGTCATGTCCCATTCAGCCTGCTAGTTTATCTCTGTCAGTCAAGAGGCCCAAGTGGCTTACAGGAGCTGTCAGGGACAGGTAGACCAACCTGCTTTGTGCTGAGGAGGTAATGCATCTTTCGGGCTTGGTAATCTCTTTTCTTCTCTTCCCTTTCGAGGTCGGCCTTCCTCTCTTCTTTTTCTTTCATCTCTGCAAACTCTTCTAGTGCTTCCCTGCATCGCAACAGTCTGCAGTTACTTATGGTAGCAAAAATCTGCTAACATTTCATTTTTTTCATTGATGAAAATCAGGCAAATTTTTTGAACAGCAATCATTACCTATATCCATAAAAATTAGTGGTGTAATATATCTCACCAGCATATTCTACATGATCTCTGCAGTCTCTAAAAAGCATCTAAGTGACCTTTCAATTGATTAAACTTTAAAAATCAAATCCCTGTATATCATAATTAAGTCAATAGTTGGAGAAATTCTCATAATCAAATGCAAAGTAAATTAATTACTACATTATCAATTTCTTTGGCTAAAGGTTAGCTATTTGCAACAAATATTTATCCCAAGAAAACATCTCAACTTCTGATTTTTCTTTAAATTTGATTTTAAGGAGCTCTGGTAGCATAGTGGTTACAAATCGGGCTGTGAACCACAAGCTAAGCAGTTCAAAATTACCAGCCGTTCTGCGGGAGAAAGATGAGGCTTTCTGCTCCCGTAAAGATTTACAGCCTCGGAAACCCTGTACAGGGTCACTCCTTTACGGGAGCACAAAGCCTCATCTTTCTCCCATGGAACAGCTGGTAGTTTCCAACTGCTGACCATGAGATTTGCAGCCTGATTCATAACCACTACACTGCCAGAGCTCCTTACATACATATATATGTACATATATATCATTTATTTTGTTTTCTAACTAAAGGACTAACCTAAAAAGTATGATGGGGTTTAGTACACAAAATTTATTGCACATTTACTTCACTTCACAGTTTTAAATATTAATTCAATTACATACCGTTTTCTGGTCTTAAAAGATGATCAATTATAAAAAATGATTAGAATAGAAGTTAAATTAGTTGAATAAGTTCCAGTCTTTCTAAGTATACTTTAACAAACATACCTTTCATTATTTATGTGTCATTATCTAAGAATTTAAATTAAAGTAAGATAAAAAATATATGCTATTTGAAAAACACATTCTAAATAGAAAAATATGTGAAAATACAGAAAAAATAACCAGCTTATATCTTCTGAAGGACAAACTTAAATACTTATGTTAAAATAATCTTTTTGAAATTGCACATCCCCCCCTTTTTTTGGTAGATAAATAACTTAGTGTCTAGTACCATGCATAAAAATTTAAGTAAGTCATCTGAGCAATTACCTCAAAGATATCAGTGGAGAATGAAAAATTCCAAAAATAAAAAAGGTTCTCATACCCACTTTAATCTCTAGAAATATTTCTGTTGCAATTTTCTGTTAAAAGGCTACTCATACAATACTTCATACAAGGTTACTTATGAAGCACACTGACGTTTAAAAATCACCATGCTATGCTATTGCAGCACACTCATTTTTTTCAACATAAGATTAAATTGCAAAATAAATGAATTACTTGGAGTGGCATGGCCCCCATTTTGCCACATTTCTCTGGAAAATTGCTTATTAATATGAAAAAAGGAGTCAGAAAAGAGGCCGTTTTACTTTATCCGTGGTGTTTGGGGGGCTTCTGCACCCACAGAACTGGGCTAGCTGCACATTTAGATTGTGTTGGCAAGCTGGTACAATGACCTTCCTGACCTGCATCCCAAGGCTATTATTAATCGCTAAGTAACCTGGTAAAGCCAAACAAATTTGTTTCCATTGAAAGGATCTCTATCTGTGTCTGAGAATTTGTTCTGTACCAAACAAACCTCATTAACTGTGTCCATTTTTGACAAAGAACCAGGAGTTAGAGGAATTGGTGACCTTTCTTTGTCCTTAAGGTACAAATTTCAAGGCAGTTACATACGTATAAATGAGTAGTTTTACTAGAAAAAATAACAATCATATGTTACATTAAAAAGTGAATTCATTATTAATTTGAATTCTTACTCTGAGTATTATATTAAAAATTAATATTCTTTCTATAATGTCTCCTATAAACCTTTAAAATAAATTGAAATAACCAATGAAATATTACTTTTTAAAAAGTCTGAAATGTACCTTCACAATTTTATATTACTCCAAAAAGAAGTACAATAATTTCTAAGCAATTACAAAAATAAATAACAGATCTACAAAGAACTTTATAAGTGATTTAATGAACATCAGAAAATTTTATACAACAAAATAACATATATATATATAAAATGAAACATATATATACATATTTATATATAGGAATAGCACTGGACTGTGAATCACAAGGCTGGTGGTTCAAACTCACAAGCAGCACCGCAGAAACCTTATACAGGGTCATTATGAGTTGGAACTGACTACATAGCAGTTTACAGCAAATATACATATATATATACATATGGTAAAAAGAAAATGCACAGAACTTAACTACAAAATAAAAAATGTAAGTTATTTGAAGTAGCAAAAACAATCCATCTTCAGGCTATGAAAATACAAAATAAAAAACAACTTGCACTTGGGGAACAGGACAAGGAGAGCTAAAACTAGAATATAAGTAGATGGCTGTTGGGTTCCAGAATAGACAGTAATCACAGGAGAAAGTGAAAAAACTACTCCCTCCCCACCTCTCAAATAAAAAGAAAACAACAACTAAAAACATGATAGTATACAAGAAACTTATCTGTGATAACCTGAAAACACAAGATTTGTAAATTCACAAAAGAAAGTAATCCTCAGTGTCCTAAATTAGTTAGTTGAGAGTGTGTAAATGTGTTTATCACCTCTGGTATATATTTGTTAAATAGACTTGGCTGAAAGTAGGAAAAGCTGAATAAATTATTTATCTTTGATATACAAGTTTTAGTTACATCAGTATGGCTGATGATACAGATCAGTGTGAAACCAAAACTATAAACCTGTAGTGAAAATTATAATAAACATTATGTTCCCCTTTAAATCTAATGATGGAAATTATTCTAACTAGGGTCTGCTTCAAAAAATTTTAATTGATTTATTTTTTAATCCTAGAATTTTAGAAATATAGTACTTTGGAGACACTTTTAAAAAAAAAGTATTTACAAATACTTTCAGGTTTTTTTTTTTAACATATTTGCCATTTCAGGTATTCTTCTTATTTCTATCTTTTAAGGCAAGGGGGTGCTGTGATATATACAGGATACAAAACCCATTTCCCTCAAGTCAATTCCAACTCACAGCACTCTATAGGAGAGAACAGAAGTGCTCCATAGCGTTTGCAAGGCTGTAATCTTTAATGAAGAAGACTGCCACATCTTTCTCCCATGGAACAGCTGGTGAGCTTTAAATTCTCCACTTGCTTTTAAATTCTCTACTGTGCTATTTAGAGTCCTGATGTGGAGCTGTGGGTTAATGTGCTGCACTGCAAGGTCGGTTTGAACCTCAAGGACGGCAGTTCAAGCTCACCAGCCGCTTCTCGAAAATTCTATACAAAGTCGCAACCGACTCGATGGCACTTAACAAGAACAACACTGTGCTATTTACTGGCCATAAAGCCTCAATACCCTCTTCTGTCAAATACAAACATACTCATATTGGTACCTTTCTCATTAAGCTATCTTGAGAATCAAATAAATTAATCTATGTAAAGTACTGAGTTGCTGTTGTTGTTAATTGCTTTGAGTCGGTCCCGCTTCATAGTGATCCTGTACAGGGTTTTCAGGGCTTTCTAATCTTTGCAGGAGCAGAAAGCCTCATCTTCCCTTGGAGTGGCTGACAGGCTTGAACCGCGGAACTTGTGGTTCACAGTCCAGTGCTTATCTTTGGAGCCATGGTGCTCCCATAAGTACTGAGTTGTTTGTTGCTGTCATTGTGATGTGCTGTGGAGTCAGTTGCAAATAATAACGACCCTGTACAGGGTTTCCGAGGCTGTAAATCTTTACGGGAGCAGAAAGCCTCTGGCATATAGTAAAGTGCGGACTGCAAGGTCATTTTCAATCACATGGTTGGTGGTTCAAGCTCATCAGCCACTCCCTGGAAACCCTGTATAGGGTTGCTATGAGTCGGAACCGACTAGTGGCACATAACAACAACGTAATGCTAATTAATTACTGAAGGTTTACTATGAGCCAGGTACTAGGACACTTACTTTACTCAACTGGATAAAATATTTTATGTTTTCTCAAATTCTTTTTAAGGCATCTTCCTTCCTCACTCTTGACCTGGGCAAACTTGGATAAAGTTTTACAATGCAGACCAGGGAATCTGGCTTCTTAAGTGGGAAATGGGAAGCATAAGGGAACTAGCTATACAGATAAATTTCCCCTTCTTCTGCCCTCCATAAAGTGCTGCTTGCACACCTGAAGAACACCTGTGTGCCTAATGATCACAGGCATACCTGCTGAGCCACTTTGGGACTCTGTGTGAAGCAGTCATCAGTAGTAACCCATCATGCCACTTTCCTACCACAGCACAAGACACCAAATCCGCCAGCTGCCAGAGGTGTTGACTGCACACTACACCCAGCTGTATCTTTCTGAAAAATATTAGCTCCCCTGCCCAATGTTTACTCACCCCTGCCCCACATCCAATGATTGAGCATTGAAGGAGAACAGAGACTCAGTACTTTGCTTCAATTTGGGACCACTCTAAGGAGATATGCTTGGTAAAATGGAGAATCAGCAAAATAGAGGAAGACGTCCAATAGCACAGTGGCAGCAGCAATGGGCTTAAGTATAGCAATGATGGTGAGATTGGCCCAGGACCCGGCAGTGTTTCGTTCTGTTGTACACAGGGTCACTATGAGTCGGAACTGACTCGGTGGCACATAACAACAACAACTAAGGAGAATGTGAGGTCCAGATTCACCTCAGATTGTCTGAGACTTCTGACACAGTTCAACTTCTCCCTGCCCTCCTGCTTACCTCCCCTTGAGATGTTATTCTCAATAACGTTCCCAAAAAAATCCTACACCAATTTGCTGTTTGAATTGATTTCCTTCTGTGATACTTGCCATAATGCTTTTCCTCACCCACACAGCCCTGGGCTTGATCTACTCAAATGAAGTTTCAGCACTTTAATCTTTGCCTTATGTTCTGCTCCCAAGAAGTTCCTAACTAATACATAT